GGTGCTGGCTTGAGAGTGGGCCGTCATCTGGGGCCCAGCCCCCAGCCCCAGGGTGTGCATGCCACAGCACCAGCCCTTGGGTGGCAGAAACGTTTGGGCCAGACCCGAAGCCTGGCACAGGGACTCTGACAGTCACCTGGGGCTGGCGCTCCTCCCCAGTGACACGGCTTGCCCAAGCACCTGCCGTGCAAGAGGTTGGCACCCTGGCTCCACTGAGGTGGCGAGGGCACATGCGTCAGCCCCTCTGGTCCTTCCTGGTGCAGGGTCAAGGGACACCCCCCCCCCCGCCCAGGTTGGGGCAGCTGCAGCCCCGCAGGCTGCAGATGCTGCGATGTTTTCTGTGCATGCAGCCACGTGACACGAAGAGCGACTGCGTCATCCCTTCTTTCTGTTTTTGTGCCTTCCCATTTCTCTGGCTGTTCCCTCCTGCACCTCCACAGGGTCTCAAGGTGTCCTGGTCACTTCCAGGGTCCCGTGGGACTCACCAGGCTGACTGCAGGAGGCACATGCAGGTCTGCTGGAGGTCTGTACTGTGCCTCTGAGACGGCATGGGGTTTGGGCCCACACTGCTTCCCGTGTTAGCTCCGTGGACTTTGCTGATCCCCCATGGGTGGCAGAGGAAAACAGGGAAGGGCACCGGGCTGTCGAGAGGCCGTCCTGGGGGTCTTGGGCGTCATCCTGGACATCCTTTTCCTTCCGGGGAGGCTGGTGTTGGCCCGAGGGCATCTGGATGGGCCCCAGGACCCGTGCCCACCCCGGCGGTTTGTCTCTGTGGCTTGGCTGGCTCAGAAGCCTCCCCTCAGCTCATCTGTGTGCTGTGCACCAGACCTGCTGTCCGTCCTGGGCCTCGTCACATCCGCGCTCCTCTTTGAGGCTGCTGTGGTCTGGTTTGTTGTGTACGCGCTTGTCTCTGGGCATGTTTTTGTGGACAGCACCGTGGCTCTCTGTGCTATGTGCGTGCGTGTGTGACATTCTTCATGAGCCAGGCTCGAGTGTTGTCTCTGTGCCCTTTTCCTGTTTTTCTTTCAGGCTTTCAGATGTTTTGTTTTTCTTTTTGTCTTTTGTACAGTGCTGTATGGGGGATTGAACCCATGGCCTTCGAACTGAGCTCCATCCTCTGTCCTTCTTTAAGTCTTTATTTTGATGCAAGTGTCTCTAGTGCCTGTATTGCCCAGGCTGAGCGCATGCTCCTGCCTGAGTCCCCAGAGTGCTGGGATCACAGGTGCTCTGTGCTCTGTGAGCGCAGGAAGCAGGCCATCTGTCTTCGCCCGCCAGCACCTGGTGTGTCGGCCGAGGGGACAAGCATCCCCCAGAGCTCACTGCACTCCTGGGGCCGTGGGATGCTGCTTCCTGGATCTCTGATATCCCCAGGAACTTGCAAGTTGAAGGCTTGGGCCCCAGCGGTTGGCGCTGTGGGAGCTGGTAGCCACTTGAGCGGTCTGTCTGGGGTCGTTGGGCCCTTGAGGGGAGTGGGGACCTGGCCCTGCTCTCTCCCTTTGCCTCCGAGGGAGCTCCTCCTCACCAAAGCCCGGAGCCAGGGGCCCGGACCAAGCATGAAGCTGAAACCACGGGCCAAGCAGCCCTTCCTCCCCTCCGGCTCCTTTTCCCTGGGTTTGTCACAGCACTGAGAGCTCAGCACAGGGACCTGGTGAAGGGGCCTGGGCAGGCAGACGGCAGCACTGGGTGATGTCAGAGCCTGCTTGTGGGTGACAGTGGAGGGCACCACGGTGAGGTTTGTGGCCCGGCAGCCGCCACGCTGCTGATGGTGCCTCGGTGGCTCGGTCGCTCCAGTGGTCTCCAGTGTAACTCTGAGGAACGGCTGGCTGCTGGCTGCTGTGCTGCTGCCTCGGGCTGGGCTGCCCCAGACCCAGTGTTTCTGCTCTGCTCCAGTTCTGGTTCTCTGGACGCAGCGTGGCCATTGTGGCTCTCGCTCTGTCCCTGAGGAGCATGTGCTGGCCTGTCCCCTTCCCGCCTCACTGGGGCTTCAGTGGTGATGCTGTTGACCTGGTGTTCAGAGCGGGCCTGGTCTCCCCGCTGTGCCTGGGGGAATGTGCTTCTGTTGCAGCTGCCCAGGATGCACCCTGTGTTGGGACAGCACCTGCTGCTAAGCCCCAGGCCCTGTTGCTGCATCCCCACCTCTGTCTCGACAGAGACTGAGGGCTGTGCGGCCCAGCTCCTCCCTTCTGGGGGCTGGGCTGGGATGAGTGCAGAGACACCGGCCCACGGGAGCTGGACGCACATCCAGAAGGTAGATGCAGCCTTCTCACCCTCGATGGTGGTGCTGGGTGGGGCTAGGCTGTGGGAGTACAGTGGCTTAGGTCCTGTCCTACCTCGAGGAGGACGCAGCTGGGCTGGACTCCAGCCATGCTCTCGGTGGGACTTGCTGCTGCCTCCTTTCCCTCAGCCAGTGGGCTCTCCCCAGTACAGGCCAGGAAAGTTGGCGCTGGAGACCAGGCAGCACCTGCAGACCCATTCTGAAAGAGCGGTCCCAGGCTGCAGCCGTCTGACTCAGCCCTGGGGCTTGTCCTCGGGGCTGCCCTGTTCCAGAGCCGCCTGGGGCATCTGGTGCTCCCCACCCATCCCCATCCTCAGCCACTGAGTGGGGGCCGAGCAGGGGCACCAGCGGGCTCATCTCCCCATGACTCCCTGTCCAAAGCCCACAAAGACTCTGCAGAGGTGACACGGTCCCACATGTCACATGGGAAGTGTACCCCGCCCATTGGCTCAAGGATACTGGGCTCTGGAGGCCCAGTCAGCAGCGAGGGCCTCCTGCCCTGTGTCCTGGCCCTGTCCCCAGGTCCTGCATCTGCACAAGGCTGGTGTGGGCTGGGCTGCCCCCCGCCAGCCACACACTGTCTGAGCACATCGGAGCTGTGGCTGTCCCGAGTCTTCACTCACTGCCTGGCCTCTCCGGGGCCAGACCACCTGGCCTGCATCCAGGTGATTCAGGCGGACACAGGTGGACACAGCTCAGCACGTCTGGTGAACGAGGGGCAGGCCTGGCCGTGGTCACCCTGGGCATGTGGTGCTGGCCCTCCCCACCTCATGGTGCGGGGTGGGTGGTCCTGATGGGCCTGGGAATCCTGTGTCCTGCACGCAGGGCCCAGTGCATTTTCCTGGCCCTTTCAGAAGCTGAGCTGTGTCCACTTGGGTTGTGGTTCACTTTGGCGACTGAGCCTCCTACAGCTGCAGGGTCCCTGGGGTGCAGGTGACCATGAGCTCAGCCCATCCTGCACTGCAAGGCGAGTGGCCATCGTGACTCCTCACGTCAGGGGCCCACCTGTCACCCTTCCTTAAACGTCCCGGTCCTTGGCCGTGCTTTGTAGCTCTGGGCAGGGTGCTACTCCTGCAGAGCCTGCTTTCTCATGGAAAATCCAGTGGGCTCCTGACTGAAATGCAACCAGTCCCCCAGTGTGTCTAGGTGACTCGCCTTGCATGTGCCTCCTGGGTGACCACCAGTGGTGGTGACGGTGACAGTGAGGTGGCCCTCAGGAGGCCCAGCATGGTGCGTTGTTGCCAAGGCGGCTGGCTGTGGTGGTGCAGGCTGCCCACCTACGGTGCAGAGCACTTGTGAAAGCAGTTAGCTCTCAGTCCTGGAGCTAGGGGTCAGCAGCATGGTGTCACAGGGCTGGTCCCTCTGCAGTCTCCCCTGGGGTTGCTAATGTCATCCTCTGTGTGTGTCCTGGCCTTGTCTTTTGTAAGGACCCTGGAGACCTCGTTTTCCTTTAGCTCCATGATACTCCATGTCTACAGAAGCAGTCACACTCAGAGGCCCTCGGCTGGGGACAGTCCAGCCCCTCCCAGTGGGGATGTGCAGCACGCCACGGGGCCGTCAGGACTATGCCGAGCCGTAGACGACAGGCGGTGCTGCAGGGACAGGAGAGGGCATGGGCAGGCCTCATTGTCACATTTCACCTCGGGTGCTGGCACCCTCCGTGTCCCCGTATCCCTGGTGGGCCTGTGCCTGGGGGCTGCTCTGCAGCTGGAAGGACTCTCGAGACTGCAGGGCCAGCGGCTCTGCCACCATGGCTGGGCGTTGGCTGTGGTGCAGGAGCCCAGGTCTCCTGGGCCCTGCCGTGTGGCTGTGGCTTCTGCTGAGTAGTGGCTGGGCCCTTGATGTCCAGGGTGCTGGTGGCCTGGGCTGCAGTCTGGATGGCAGCACAGTGAGGAGCAGCTGGCTGGACCTGGGACCTGGGGCCGGGCAGGTGGCACTGGAACAGGGGGCGCTGCGTGTCCTCGCACAGGACAGTCCTCCTCCCACCCTGCCCTGGGGTGATGAGATATCTGCCAGAGGTGGCAGCACCGTGTAGAAGGCCTGGGTCATGGGGCAGCTGGCACATTGCTGCTGTCCCGGTGGAGCAGGGCTGGACAGCCAACCTGGCTGCATAAGGGGCATGGCAGCAGAAGGAGGGCTGGGTACTCGTCTCCAGGGCTGGATGGGCAGTAGGCACAGGGATGGTGCAGGCGGCCAGCACAGGAGCCCTGCTCTGGGTGTCCTTGTCGTTGGCCTTCACTGGGACATATGGTAGTGCTTTCCTGGATTGCAGGGCCCCAGGGATGTGCTCCTGTGGTCCCGGTGGTAGCCTTGGGGTGCAGCCGGGAGCAGGCACGTGCCTAGGACCGACTGCCATCCTGTGTCCGCTGACTGCTGCCCAGTTCACATCCCGCGTAGGCTGTGGCCTCCCCTGGGCTACGTGGCCAGCTGCTCTCAGTCCTGAAGTCACTGACTGGGTGGGCAGGTCCTTCTCATTGGTAACTGCCTGGCTCTCCAGGCAGCAGTGGGCAGGGGGCAGGCCGTCATCTTGGAGGGTGCTGGTGCCCCGAGAACCCAGCACTGTGCTGGCGCCTGCTGCTTGTGTCCCGGGGCTGACCTCGCCATGGGCACAGCTGACTGCCGTGAGCTGCCACCAGCACAGTGGGAACCTGCTCTGTCCCAGCCTCGGGCACCATGGGGCTGAAGCACCCAGGACTCATCCGTCATCCGTGTGTTCTCTCCTCAGGTGCTGAGCCGAAGGCCATTTTGCCCAAGAAGGAGAAGCTCAAGCAGCGGCGGGCGCGATGGCTGCAGAGTAAGTTCATGCCCTCGACTCTGGGGCAGCCATGCCGCTGCTTTCCGCTGCACCCGAATGCACAGCGGGGCTCCCACACAGGGCAGCATCGGTTCCCAGCCAAAGGCACCTGCCGGGAGCCCAGAGTGGATGCCCAAGGAGTCACCTGGCCCCGTCAGGGAGGCGGCAGCTGCCCCTGCTGAGGGCGAGCACTGCAGGCCCATGTTTCTCGCTCCCCAGAGTGCCGTCTCCTGAAGCTGCTGCTCTCGGCCCCTTGTTTGTCACAGTCCGTTTTGGCTCCTGTGGTGCATGTTTTCGTTTCAGAAGTCACTTGGGCTGTGTCCTCCCCTTTGTCCGCTGGCCCGCGCTCAGCCGGCCCCTCTCCCGCCTGCCGAGGGTGGACGTGCCCTGGGCTCCCAGCCAGCCTCCCTCCCGGCAGTGCAAACGCCTCTCTTCTCACTCCTCTTGGAATGTGTAATTGTTTTCTGTGACGCTAACGAGCTGCTAGCGTTCTTCTGAAGATTTTCTTATCTTTACACAGTGATCACATGAAAGACTGTTTTGTAATTTTTTTCATAGTTATCTTTTTGTGGTGATTTTGTGACTTTGTAAACCTAATTTGTAATGTCTTCTTCTTTACATTCTCAGATCTTGAAATGTGGTTTATGTTATCTTTTCCTTGAGGGTTTTAAAGACAATGTGTTCTTTGAAGGTAGTCGTTAGACTTGTCAGCTTATTCCAGGAGTACTAATTTTATGTTTTCTGCCACTTTTTGGGTGTTGTTTCCGTGGTCCATTCCTTCATTTTCTCTTTCATAATTCCCAGTATAAACCGTGCAGAGTATTCTTGGTAAGGTAGCTTTGGAAGCGTGCAAGGACTGAGCCATGCAGGCCCAAGCATTTCTGGGTATATTTTTGAGATGTGTAATTTTTCATCTCTGATGCTTGGTTTGTTTTTTTTTTTGCTTTTTGAGACAGGGTCTCGCTATGTAGTTCAGCCTGACCTTGAACTTGTGGTGATCCTCCTGCGCCAGCCTCCGAGTGCTGAGAGTATAGCTGTTCACCACCACGACTGGCTGGTGCTTGGTCTTTTTATTAATTGTTTGACTTGATTTTTGCCACTTGTATTTTTCTGAAATAATCAGATCTCAGCCTTTATTAGCCAAGGGCTGTATGTTAGTTTCTCATTATTAAATGTCTTTCATGTTCTGTCATTCTTCACTGTGCCTTGTTTCTGATGAGGAGCCAGGCAGTTTTGTCTCTTCCTGTCTAGGAATTCTTGAATTTAGTCATCAGTCCTCTTTGGGTTTTCTAAATCGTTTGTTTCTGCTTTTAGTTCCCCGCTCAGGCTTTCTTCAGGTTCACTGGCCTCCCTCACCCGCCTGTTGCCATGTTTCCTTTAGAAATGAAAGGCTGTAAGTTGGCCTCTGAGTGTAGCATTAGCCACATCTCCCGAGTTGTTTTTACTTCACGTTTTCATGTCAAAATGGGATTCAGAAAAGTGGGAAGCATTTATAGCGAACACCCTCATCCCGACCTGTGGGTTTTACCCTTGGTGCCCTGCCCCTCTGGTCACAGAGCCACCATCTGTCCATCCCTGTCTCGGTCCACCCAGCGATGCTTTTTACACATTCCCGAGTGGTCCTGTCGGGGTTCGGTTTGTTATGGAGCCTTTCTTCTCTTCCTGAACCCTGCGTTTGTGTGCAGTGGTGGGGATTTTAGACAGTTGTGTGCACTTGTGCAGCTGAAATCCCCTTTGAGGGTGTAGCCACCTCACCACCCACAGTAGCCCCGTGAGATGCACTGGTTGGTTCACGACTCTGCCCCAAGAGCCGCCTGTCGGTCTTTCTGCAGGCGGCATGGTGTGGGGGCAGGCTTCTTGGGAGGACTCTCCGTATGCACCTCCTTGCCCAGTCTCCTGTGGCGGGCACCGGCTTTGCCATGTTTGGCTCGACGAGTGAGGCTGGACGAGCACCCGTCTCCCATGGCCATGTTTTCCCTCCTCCTCTTGTGTAAATACTCAGGAATGGAACGCTGGGTCATAGGGTGGGTGCATGTTTAGTCTCATGAGCCACTGCCAGACGCCCTGCATCTGTGCCCCTCCCGCAGCGTGGGAGAGTTGGTGTCCGCAGCCTCACCCACACGTGTGCCATCCCTGGCCCGGCCTGGCATCACGGGAAGCATTGTCATGAGCCGCCTGTGTCTCCCTCCTGCACTTCCTCTCTGGGGCAGTTCCTTTTATTACTGAGATTCTCCAAGCTCTCTGTGTCCTGGACACTAGTCCTCGGCAGCTATGTTTGCAAATATTTCCTCACAGGCTGTGATTGCCCTGTTCATTTTCTTAAATTTTTCTATGACAGGAGTTTAATTTTGAGAAGTCTGGTACTTTTTCTCACGTGGTTATGGCGTATGTGTCCTATTTAAGAGAGCTTTGCCTAATTCCACATCGTGACGATGTTTTTCCCGTGTTTTCCTCTGAACACCTGAGGCGCCAGTGTTATATCCAGCCAAGCTCTGCTGAATCCATGTCCGCGTGGTCCGTGGCTGGCTTTGCCCGCTCTGCGGGGGGTGGGGGGTGGCTGCACTGCCCTCAGGGGTTCCAGAGACCCTCCTCGCCAGAGGCCTCATCCTTGGGCAGGCACCCTCCTCCACACGGCCCAGGTATGAGGGCTCAGCCCGCACCACCCTCCCATCCACGATGGCGATGGGGCCCCCAGTTCTTGCCTCTCTGTGGAATCGTGCCGTTTGTTGTCGTTTTGCTCAGCAGCACTCTCGTGAGCTGCAGGTCGCCTGAGTCCCGGCAGTCTCGGTGGCGTTGCCCTGTCGGCAGTGCCAACCTTGAGGCTGCTGGCACTGCGGCTCCCCTTGCAGACACTTCTTTCCTTTTCCCTTGTCTTATTTATGTATTTGTTTATTTTTTTGGTGATTGCTTGGTTTGGACAAACTTACTGCTAAATATTTCAAAACTTTTGATGCTATTGTGAATGGAATTCTTCAAGTTTCTCGTCTACAAAGGTCCGCTTGACTTGTTTTTTACAGGAATTTTGTGTTCCGTGAGCCTGCTACAATCTCACATCGGTCTGGCAGCTTCTGTGGGCTCCGGCATGTTCAGGAGTGTGTGCATTCCTCAGGTGGCTGTGCACCTTGTGTGCTGGAACCTGCCATGCTCTGGTTCTGCCCCGCCCCTTGGCCACGCCCCCCGTCCCCCACCTCCAGTGCCAGGGCCACCACGCTGACTGGCTCCTTGTGCCCTGGGCAGGTGGTGCCAGAGCACAGTGGCTGCCCTCTGTCCCAGGTCCACACACACACTGCCGGGCTCCTGCCCGCTGCCCCGTGTTAGCAGACTTCTCTAACCCTCAGTCTGAGAGGTGAACAGTGTGTCTGTAGTCAGGATTTTCTTTTCCTTTATTTCTAGTGAGGTTGAGTGGCTCTTAATGCATTTTTTTGGCCTGTGATTTGTCTGATTTGTAGCATTATTTACTCATTCATTTATTTGGTGACAGGGCCAGCTTAGGCTGACCTCAAACTCAGCCCTCCTGCCTCAGCCTGCTGGGTTGCTGGGATTGTGCAGGCACCTTGCGCCAGCCTGTAGCGTTTAACTCAGGCATAACTCACCCTGTAGAGCGAGGAGAGAATGGCCGCCACCGGTCTGGTACACGTCGCCCTTGCTGCGTGTCTCTTCCTCCTGCCCCATTCTAGGTCCTGTTTCAGGTTTGTTTTAGATCCAGGGGCCTGTGCAGCTGACTCTCTTGTATGTTGGGTTCTTTTAAAAAGACAGCTTCACAGGGTTGGTGGCTGAGGCTGCGTCTCGTGTCGACACAGTGGCAAGGACGCTTTCCAGGGGCTCTGTGCCTGGCTGTGTCTGGCATCTGGCTGCAGGTGTGGTGTTGACTGGACGTGCTCTGTCTGGGGGCTTCGTCCCTGGGTGCCTTGTAGCACAGGGCACTGAATGGAACCAAGCTGTGCAGGGTCCAGGCCTTGGCTCCCCAGGTCACAGAGACTTCTGGCCCTGAGCCCTCCTCAGGTCCCGGCCTTTGGTGCTGCCTGCCTTGTTCCGGGGTCTGCAGCCCCAGCCCTCCCTGCCACCTGCTCCCCACTTCAGGGAGAGGAGCTGCTCCACATAAACACCACATTCATTCCCCTCCTCCAAGTTGTCACCTTGCGTCTCAGCCATCCCGGAGGTGAGAGGGAGGGCGGCCTTTCCTGGGCCACCGCATGAGCCTGCTGGGGGCTGGTGGCCTTGTCTGTGCAGCGCAGAGCTCATCCAGGCTCACAGGCGCCCGGGTGAAGGTCACATCTGCAGGCCACACCCTCCCTCCATGCCTGTGCCCCTCGTCCCTGTCCTGCAGGAGCCGTCAGGCTGTGCCGGTGTCTGCATGCTAAGGAAGCAGAGAGCTCCAAGCTCGCGCTCAGCCTGTAATTAAAAGGCCTGCTCTGTGATTACAAGGAGAAAATAGCTTGGAGCTAGCTGACCCTCTGGTCCCCGGTGGGGTGTGGGTGACGGCAGAAAGCATGCCAGTGACAGGCTCCTGCCCCTTCTCATCCTGTCCCCTCGGCCCCAGAAATTGAAGCCATCAAGCTGGCCGAGCGGAAGCATAAGGAGGAGCAGAAGCGCAGGGCCACAGTGGTGGTGGGGGACCTGCACCCCCTGCGAGACGCCCTGCCGGAGCTGGAGGAACTGGAGCCCCACCGCCCACCACCGCCCAAGGGGTGAGTGTCCCGTGTGCCAGCTCCTGGGAGCTGTGGCCCCCGGGGAGCAGGGCCACGTGAGCTCAGCTGCACCTGACCTGGGACCCTTGTGGCACTATGGCTGTTGGCCAGGGCTCGGGGGCACCCCCACCCTTTGCATCCCTTCCATCAGCCCTGGTGCCCTGGACCAGCCGCTGCCTGGCCTGTTGTCACATGGCAGCCCACTGTGTGCCAGATCCCAGCCTCAGGGCCTTGGCATGTGCCTACTCGTCCCTTCCTGCTCCTGCAGGTGGTGTCCCTGGCCTGCTCCTCAGTGGTCGCCTGCCCACGCTGGCTGTGCGTGCCTCCCTCCCAGGCCCCAGAGGCCTGCGTGCCGATGCCTGGTGTCTGTGTGGAGCCCAAGCCTGTCCTCATCAGGTCGCCCATGAGGGACAATGGGGCCGAGAGGTCGAGGAGCTGAGCCTCACTTTGGGGAGCAGATGGGGCAGCATCAGGGGCTTTGTGTCCTGTCCCAGTGGTTGGGCTTCCATCTTTGTTTCTGACATTTCTGATTTTGCTGCCTTAAAAATAATTCTTTTCCGCTGCTGCATTTCCTTCTGAGGGGCTGGCAGGGCGAGCACTGTTGCAGAACCCAGGGGTTGCAGGTGCTTTCCACCGAGGGGACTCCGGAGGCTGGTGCTGAGGGGCATGGGGCGGCACTGGCCGTGCCGACTCCATGCCTGGGTCTTGAGCAAAACTGTGACCTGGTCAAGGGTTCTCCCCTCTTCTCGGGCTTCTCATCTGAAAAATGTGCTGGGCCCCGGGAAGGGAGGGGGCCTACGTAAACAGCTGCCCAGCGAGGAGGGGTGTGCTGGCCCAGGGCCTAGGGAGGTCACACCAAGGTGATGAGGTGACCGCAGCTCCGCCACCACGCCTGTCTCCACACCCAGCTCCCTGTCAGCGCTGCTGCCCAGCAGGGTTCCCACCCCTGGGCAGGGCCCCTGGGGGACCTGGCGTGCGGGCAGCCTGGGCAGGCCAGTGGCCCCCAGCTTGGGAAACAGTGACACAGAGCCAGCAGGCACAGGGTGCCCCTGGGCCCCGAGGATCTAGCCTCGCTTGCTTTGGAGGCCATCGTCCTAGAGGCTGGGCAGGGCACACCAGAGGTGACAGCCCTTCCCTGGTGGGCAGCAGCTCACACACTGTTCTGGGAAAATGGAATGTTTTCTGTTTTTTTTTTTTGTACTGGGGGTCAAACTTGGGACCTTGCGCTTGCGAGGCAGGCGGCAGAACCACTGAGCTAAATCCCCGGCCCTTCTGTTCATATTTTAAGAGAACATGAATATGAAAGCAGGCCCTGGTCAGGAGGCTGAGTTTAGGTGTTTCCCAGAACCTGGGCTCTCTTCGCCCTTCCTCCGGGCTCCCGCCCTGCAGATGGTGTGTGGCCCTGTCACTGGCTTCTTGTGAGCCCACAGCTCCTGGAAGGAAACTTGGCGGCCGCTCCATGGCCCATCCTTGCCGACCCCTGGGCCTCTGCTGCATTCCGGGAGTGCTGCAGTGTGAACAGGGGAGCTGGGTGCCCCCACCCGGGGGTCCCTGGGCACACACGGGTGTCCTCGGCATGTAGGCAAACCTGGGTTCCAAGGTCACAGCAGCATGGCGCTTCCCACCAGGACGGATGATGGGCGCTGCTGGCCTCCTGGGTCCACTCGTAGACCTGGCAGGCGCTGGCCCTCAGCTGCGGTTTTCGGCTTGGGCCAGGCGTGGGAGACTCAAGGCATGAGTCACGGTGTATCTGGCCATATCACTTGGGGCCGTGGGCATCAACACGGACGTGGCGACGGCTGTTCCTGCAGGTCGCCCTGCAGCTCCAGCCAGCACAGGGCCCACGCCTTCCTTGCCTGGGCACACTGGCTGCCCAGATGGGGAGGGCTCGGGTGGGCATGTTGGTGACAGGATCCCTCCCCTGTGTTCACAGCAGGGTGAGCAGCAAGCCCCGGCCAGCCGAGCTCAGCCGCATGAGTGCAGCCCAGAGACGGCAGCTCCTGTGAGTACAGCTCCTGGGTGCCCAAGGCTGCGCTTCCATGTCATCACCCATTGATGTCCCCAGTGTCCGAGGCGTTTCACTGGTGCCTTGGGGAGTGTGGGGCCGGGGCGCCAGCAGCAGGAAGAGAGGGTGACAGTCGGGCCCAGCAGGGCCCTGGCAGCCCAGGCCTGAGAGGCGTCCCCAGGACGGCCACCCAGAGCCCAGGCCAGCATGGTCTGGAAGTGCCTGTGGTCGCCTGGGGCTCAGGCAGCATGTGTTAGAGCCACCACCTCCAGTGCCTGTGTGCAGATTACACTCCAGGCTCCTGGTTGTCCTCCAGAGCACCCAGCCCGAGTGCTCACATGGCCTTTGGGCTACAGAGCTCTCCTGGAGGGGCCCTGGGGCCCTCTGGGACAGCCTGTCCCACCCCTGCTCAGGCTCTCGTGCATGGCTATTTTGGGCTCACCGGGGAGCAGGTGCCTCTTATGTAAGGCCCGTGTGTGTCTGCGGGGCGTGCAGGTCACCACACTCCCACCTCTGCTCCGCAGGGTGACCCCTGCAGATCCCTGGGCAAGCGAGTGGCCCCAGGGCAGCATCCCCCCCCAGATATCCCCGGGTACCAGGCACTGTTTGGGTGGTGACGCCAGGCTCTGCTGTCCACTGCTGTCGGGGCCTGGGTGTTCGGGGCCGGTTCTCCACGTCCTGGATGGTAGTGCTTCTCAGCCCTCCCTGTGGGGCTGGGGACTCCCCAGCCGCCTGCCAACCTGTGGTCTCTTCTTGCAGTGAGGAAGAAAGGACCCGGTTCCGGGAACTGCTGGCCAGTCCGGCCTACAGAGCCAGTCCCCTGCTGGCCATTGGGCAGCAGCTGGCCCTCCAGATGCAGCAGGAGGGCGTCAGCCAGCTGTGACCAGAGCTGTTGCCCTGTTCCCCAAGGCCGCACCCTCAGCAGTGCCCTCCCTGCAGGGCCTTCACCTCACCAGCGGAGAGCAGCCTCCCTTCGGCTGGTGCAGCCTTCGTGACCCCTGTGCTGCTGCCCAGGGCACCTGCGTCGGGGTGGAGCTCGGTGTGGCTGAGATGGAGGCTGGGCAGGGGCTGCATGTGCCCCACGGGGCCCTCAGGCCTGGCCTCTCCGCCGTCGGACACCAAGCACGGGCTCCCAGCTTTGCCCGCAGAGGGAATCTGATGGTGCAGAGGCCTGGCTGGGCTGCCTGGCTGAGCTCCTCACAGATGCCTGCAGCCGCCCTTGGGGCCCCACCTGGCACCCGTGTGCTGCCCCTGGGTCGCCGAGGCCCCTACTGCTCCTGTCCCCTCGTCCACACCACCCTTGCCAGGGCTGTGGCCTCCTGCCGCTGTCAGCCTGCTCAGTTGTGCTCCTCACCACCTTGTGGGGCCTTTCAGCCAGCCGGCAGGGTGGTTTCACACAACTGCCTAGCCACTCGGGTTTGCGGTGGCTGTCAGGCCTCCTCCTCAGGATGCAGAAGGGGAGGAGTTGTGTCCCGGCCCCAGAGTCCCGTGGGCTCTTCACTCGCCCAGCTGTACCGCTGCTGTGCAGGCCCCTTGCCCAACGGCCAGCAGGGGCCCTGAGAGGCTCAGGACCACATGCATCTGAGGAGGGCCGGGCACCAGTGCCTGTTGCCCTCCTGCCTCTCGTGTCCGTGTCCCCAGCCTCCCACGCTGTGGCCAGCGTGCTCAGGCTGGCCCTCCAGCAGCACCCACAGCCTGGCAGTGTGGCCGAGGCACAGTTGGAGCCCACGTCCTGGGCCCCCTTTCCCGGGAGAGCAGCAGGACTCCACAGACACAGTGTGGACACCCTGGAGGCACCTGGCACTGAAAAGGGACAAACCGGGGCTCAGCAGGCAGCAGATCCCAAGTCCCGAGGTCCAGGCGAGACCATGCCCCCAGGCATGTCCGGCTGCCGCCTCCACAGCAGATTCCCAGTCTGGAGGTGGTGTCGGTGACACCTCTTTCTGCAGGAAGCATGGACAGCCTGCGGGTGCACAGCCTGGCGGGTGGCGGGTGGCTGTTCTCAGGCTCTGCGTGCAGCTGGGTCTTGCAGCACGTGTACCTTCACGTGTGGCTGTGTGAGCCGTCCCCTGCCTGCTGGGTCTGAGGCAACGTGGGCCTACATAGCCTTCGGCCACTGTCCCTCCTTCCCGAGGACCAGGGCCTTCCCTTCAGGGTCCCCCGGGGAAGCAGCAACAGCAGCAACTGGGGCATGGGGCAGACTTGGCGGGCAGGCTGGGCCCTGAGGGACACGTGAGCTGAGGGTGACAGGAGGGACCACCAGACTCCTGTCATCTGAGCAGCTGTGGATGTGGGGGCACCTTGCGTTTGTGCAGGGCTCATGTCCAAGCACCTGCCAGCTGGGATGCCCACAGGGCCAGGCGCCCCATGCACCCAACAAGGCACACGGACCCTCCACGTGTGGGCAGACGCAGATGCCCCGAAGCAGCAGGCCTGCGAGTGGACCACTAGGACCTTCGCGGTTCTTGTGTATTTTCTCTTTGCAGAATGAGTGAACATGAATTACTTTCTAATAAACTTAAGTGGAAAAGTTTTACAGTTGAGTGGTGTTCATGCTTTTTAAACCCAAAGCCTTCAGTCCGTTTTCTGATTCCAAGGGTAAACAGCAGATGGAAGCCCCCTGGGGCACCCCACGCTGGCCTCCCTGGATGTGTCCACCTCTGTGTGGCCTCGCAGAAGGACCTCAGGAGGAGCTCAGTGTCCGGCGAGTCTGGTGGGAGGCGGGCAGGAGGAAGGTGTCACTGGGCCACGCCCTTGGGGGAGCGGCCACCCCCATGCTGTACCTCATCATGATTCTGCCTCAGCACTGCAGCCAAAGCAAGCCTGTTGTCTTGAGTGACTTGTGGGTATTTTGTCACAGGCGTGGCCAGCTGACTTACAGACACCCCAGATAACCACAGGTGCCAGTGCTGGAGTGAAGGGCCCCCTGCCAGGGCCCCGGGAGTCCTTGGCCCTGAGCAGAGTGGGGCTGGGCTGCCTGGGCCATCCGGGGCTGCACTTGGGTGGGAGCCAGGTGCTGCAGCCTGGGACCTGCCCTGCACTGGGCCAAGCCACTGTCGCTGCCGCTGCTGCAGGCAGATATTGATACTCAGGCCGAGGACTCCTCCCAGGCTGCACTATCCGTGCAGTGGTTTCTGTGACCACCAGGGCAGGACAGTCACAGCTAGGAGGCCCGAAGTGTGTTGGAAATGTGGCGTCCCCATAGCCTGTCTGAGTCAGATGAACACCGTCGTGCTGGCTGGGGCCCTACTGGGTGCGACCTCTTGGGAACTAAACATCTGCAGGACTTGGGCCTGCTCCCGGCTCCACAGTGGATGTGGCTCCTGGGGGCGTCCTCGGTCGGGGGGCATTGTGGGCACCAGGTTTCTTAGACGTTCCCTTACCCCCTCCCCAGGGAAAAGACAATAGGCAGTCGGTGGCCTCCACTGACGTGGGCAGGGAGAGAAGGTGCCAGGGGACTGGGCTTCGGGGCCTGAGGAGGGACACAGTCGGGGCAGGGCAGGGAGGCGAGCATTTGCGGGAGAGCCCGCATGGCTGGGGCCGTGGGCCTGGCCTCAGACCTGGGCTCTGTCCGAGGGCCGACCCCGCCTTCGCCCTCCCCCGCGGCCGTGTTCCCAGAGGTCTGGGCCATTTTCCTGCTTCCCCACCCCATGGAAAATCCTGCGAGCAGAGACCGCTCCCCTGTGTCCCGTGGCTCCCAGCTCTTTGGAGGAGCTGCTGCTGGGCGAGAGGGAGGGAGGGAGCGAATGTGTGAGCACTGGGTGGGTGAGGAGTGGGAGGCACACGTCGGGGCCTGTGGGCCATGCGTGCGTCCCGAGTGAGGTTGCTGTGCCCCGACACGGGGGTCCCCACCACCCTCCATGTGCTTGTGTGCCTGGTCCTCCTTCCCCACAGGGGGCCGTGGTCCCCTGGCTGTCACAGCAGGTGACGGGTGACAGGTGACGCAGGGGACGCATGGCGCCCAAGCTCTGGCTCCGGGATATACCTTCAGGGCCGCGGGCCCAGAGCTTGTGTGGGGCCACGCGCGCCATTCCTGGGGTGCGGAGCTGGCGGCCGCCCAGTCCACAGCCAGTGTGACTTGTCTCCACAAAGGGAGGTCCATGGCTGGGCAGCCTGGCGGGCAGGGTGGGACACAGGCACAGACATGGCTCCCGGCTGGGCCAGGCAGACGGGCTCCTGTGCCACTCGGAGCCAGGAGCTGAACAAACACCAGGCGTGTTGCTTCTGGAATGTTCCTGCAGTGATAACATCGCTCCAAGACGCTGGGAGCGCTGGCCGCCACCCAGGACTCTTCTCACGCGGCTCCCGGATGCGGCCCATGGCGTGGGCAGGGGAGGCTCAGGCCCGCATGGCCTCCAGCTGCCACCTGTGGCCAGTGTCAGGGCGCTGCTGTCAGCCTGAGCCTCCAGGATGTTGGGGAGTCGGCTGGCCGGTGAGATAGTGGTAGCCTGGCCGCCCGCCGTCTCCCAGAAGCCAGGCCTTGTTCCTGGCCTGGGACCCTCTGCCTTGTTCAAAGCCAGAGCCCTGGCTCAGCTGTGTTTTCCTTCCACGCTGTCAGGATGACGTGGTTGAAGTGATTTAGGGACTGTTCCGGTGCTGGGTGGTAGTTAGATCTTTCTTAATATCAGGGGATCTCACTTTTAAAATCTTTGACTATTCCTCAGAGAAGATCGGCAGCTACTTCTGTTTCTGAATCCAGATGTTTCTTCCCAGTGCCATGGACACAGAGACCCGGAGACCCCTCAAGGCCCTTCCTGTCCCTCTGCCCTGTACCACCCAGAAGACGAGGCTCTGGGGCCAGTGAGGACAGCCTGCTGGGAAATCCCAGGACTTAGTGTGGTCCTTCCTCCCCAGTGGGGAAACTGAGGCATGCTGAGCATTGGGGGGGCAGTGCTTCCCTCTCCGGTCGCCCTGCCCTCCTCAGACCTCTCCAGCTCCTGCTGCTGGGTGTCAGGTCTGTGCCAAAGCCACATGATGAGCAGGGGGTGGAGCCCAGGGCTGGCACATCAGCACACCAGCTCCCCAGGCTCGGGTGGGACAGTCACACACGCGTGCAGACAGGCACAGGTACCTTCAGACATGGGATGTACATGCATGTACATGGGACCTCATACTGCATCACACTGCACCCAGAAGCGCGTGCAGACATGCAGACACACTCGTCCAGACAGCGTCGTCAGCACACAGCTAACCCCCTGCACGTGTACAGACTCCTGCCGGTGGGTGCGCACACCCAGTCTTGTGGCCAGGAGCCCTGGCCCCATGGGCAACCATGACAACGGGCCCTCAGGGGCTGAGCAGGGCCCTTGCCCCAGGCCTGGGTGCCGTCTCTGCACCGGGGGCCCTGAGTTCCAACATGGCGTTAATTACCTTCCCGCTCCCCTGGGCTGGGAAGATTCTAATTACCTGCAATGTTAACTGGAGAACAGGCACGGGCCAGGCCTCTGCCAGGCTCCCCGGGAGGGATCGGAGCCTTCTTCCTGCTGCCAGGCCCAGCTGGCGCCTGCCTGCACCAGAATCTCATGCCCCAGTGCCTGTCCCCAGCAGGGGCACCCTGGGCTCCACCCCATGTTCTCGGTCACCCGCCGGAGCCCAGTCTGGGCAGCCCTGCATGACCTCAGCATGGCGGGGCTGCCCCTCTGGAGAGACCAGGCCCTCAGCAGCCCGGTACCACCTGCCATCATCCTCCCACTCAAGCGTCACTGCAGGAGCTCAGCCACCTGGTCCAGGCAGGGCTAGGGGAAGGGCACAGGGCAGGAGGGAGGGGAAGTTACTCTGTCCCTTGAAACCTTCCCTCTGGGCTCACCAGCGATGTCCGTGCACCCTGCTGGCCAGGGTGGGTTCTGTACACGCCAAGGTCCAAGGGAGGAAAGCCCCACCTGGGAGCCACCTGCCCTGCATCCCGGGCAGGGGTCCCCAGTCCCCGTCCACGGCCCCGCCCCTGACCCCAGGCGACGGCCTGCTGTGCTGGCCCTGAACAGCACTGGGAGGGCGTGGCCGGCCCTGGGCCTGTCCTGCGGCTGAGGCAACAGACTCCTGTGCACTGGGTGCTGGGCTCTGTGTGCTGGGCTTGGGCTGAAGGCAGAGCCACAGGGAGTCTCAGGCCGCAGCGGCCAGGTGGCTCGGGCGGGACCCAGAGCCTGCTCGGGACGTCTGGCAGGGACCTGGCCTGCAGCCTGGTGAGCACAGTGGCCCCTAGCCCTAGTCACCACTGATCCCCGGGATGGCTGAGGACTGGGCTCTGGCATCCAGAGCCTCGGCGTGGGAAAGCGGCGCCCCAGGAGGGTGATGTCCCCATCGTGGGGCGGCCTGGCTGTGACGGGGCCCGGCGGCCTGAAGTCCCTGTCATCCCTCCAGGGAAGCCTCTGCCTCCCTGCCTGTCTGGGCCTTAGCCTGGGAGACGCCGGCCAGGCCAGGCCAGGCCAGGCCACACAGCCTGAGCATCAGGGTGAGCACAGGCCGAGCGAGCCAGAGCTGGAGAGAGAGAGAGAGAGTGTGTGTGTCTTCGGGACAAACCAGAACATTCTCTGCTGGCTACAGTGTAGGCATTGCTTTTACCCGCGAACTCCACCAGACTAAGAACGAAATCCGTTGTTCCTGGCCGCGGCGTGCCGTCAGAGGAAACGCTGCGCCTCACTGAGTCCCACTGGCGCCTGTGAGCCCGGTGTTTGCTGCTGGTTGTTTCCCGCAGGCACGGAGGGGCCTCTGGGCGTGGCTGTGCTCCCGTGGCTCCCGGCTTGGAGTTGTCCTCCTGCTCCAAATCACCGGGGACCCTGGGCTCTGGTTGGTCACCCCGGGCTGAGCCAAGAGGTGACGTCCGTGGGCCTGGTGTCCCCACGCTGGTGTCACGGGAAGAGATGACCCAGGCTGCTCAGTGCCTCCCTGGCTCTGGCACGTCGGGTCTGGCAGGCTTCTCTGGCCTGGCCTGTCATCTCCTGCCCTGCTGAGCTCCCCGGGGTTCTCAGGCCCTGCGCCCCTCCCTGCTCTGGCCACACTGGCCAGTGGGACCTGGGCCTGGCCTGGCCCTTGGTGCCTCCATGCTGGGCCGCTGTCCTCAGTACCCTTCCAGCAGGAACCTGTGGTCCCCCCACCCGCTGGGCTCCCCCAGCCCCTAGCTGGACAGCACCCGACACCCTGGCTCCTTGGGCCTGCTGGTGTCCTTGTCACCTGGTGAGACCTCCCACATGAGGCCACATGGAGCTGGATCCTCGCGCTGCGCCCACCGGGCTCGGGCTGCCCTGGGCCCCACCCGGATCAACCCAGGGGACGAGCAGCCAGGTCACTGCCCGTCCAGGCATTGGCTCGGGCACCCTGGGCATGTGTGGTCTCCACGGCAGGTACGTGGTATGCACGGTGTCGCTTGAGCTCTGCGGGGTAGATAGTGAAGCCTGCGACACACGCGTGCTGGGACACACATCTCTGTCACTGCAGTGTGAGGGAGACACCGGAAGTGACACAGGTGCCCCAAAGGCAGGCTCCGAGGGGCCTGGGATGGGGGGAGCTCCGCGGGTGCGGCTGTGTGCAGTCACCGCCCATGCTTTCCCTATGAGTGGTAAGTGGCCTCTGCGCCGAGCCTGGGTTCCCACTGGGGAGAGGCGGAGATGACCCTTCCCGCAGAAGCGGCGGGCTCTGTGGGCAGAGATAGAGCAGCGTTTGGTTTGGGGACAGAACACAGGGTGCTGAGTAGCCCGAGGCTGTGGAGCGGAAGCGGCAGCCTGGTCTCTGCCTCAGGCCCCATCCGGAGGCCACTGGCCTTGCTGTGCAGGGGGAGTGGCCCTGGGCCAGGTGACCTCAGCTCCCCGTGTGCTCGGCTGGGCGGTGGGCGCTCCAGGTCTTCCCTGGGACCCGCCGAGCTGTGGTCCCTCCCTTCTAAGCTCAGCACATGTTGGTCCTGGCTCTGTGACCTTTTTCGCTTGCTACTGGACATGCTATGTGCTGCCGAAGGACACAAACGGGGCTGGGGGACAGTGCAGTGCCCCGAGGAGCCCTGTGGACATGGGACAGCGGACAGGCTGAGGTCCCCACCCCAGGCTGGAGCTTTCAAGGGTTGGGAGGGCTGGGGATGAGGCCTGAGGGAGCCCACTGTGGGGGGCTTGGGTGTCGGGCCACTGCTGTCCCTGGGGGTTTCTTGTGGCCAAGGGCTCTCATGGGGACCCAGGAAGGAGCCCAGGGCCAGCGCCCCACAGCCTGAATCAGGCCTGCAGCAGGAAGGGCCACCTGCACCTACAGGAGTCCTGTCCAGAAAGAACCACGCTGTCCCCCGTCGGGGCCCTGGAGACACAGGAGCCCTCCCCGGGCCCCGCCCTCCCCGGAGATGCTGTTGGGGTGAGCCTGCGGCTGTCAGCTGGCCGAGGGACCAGAGCTACTGCCCTCAGCCTCAGCGAGCTGGAGGCCGCAGCTGCTCAGGGCACAGGGAGAGCTGTTTATACGAAACCTAGACAAGTACTATCATCTGTCACAGCAGCTGTAAAACAAACTTAGCCTTGTGATAATATTTTGGTTTCGTTTCCACTATACACACCTAGAAAAATGCGAGCGTCATCCCAGCCCGCTAGGGAATTGTGTTCCAGGAGCCTTGGCGAGCCTTGGCGTGCCCCGGGAGCCGCCCGGCAGCAGCCCAAGTGCCCTGAGAGCTACTGCTCAGCTGGGCTGCAGGGAGAGTCTGCTGCCCGGCTCTGCTTGTTCACGCCTCGAGCTGAAACTGCAGGGCCTGCTGTCGCTCACTGGCTGGAGAAGCCTCGGGACCGGGGGAGCACACTCCTGGGTGTGTCTGGGTGGCCATGGAGGGGTGGCCTTGGGTACAGCGTCTGTTCCCTGGCCCCTTCCTCGTGGAGCTGATCCCCTGCTCTGCTTCCTGGCCACCATCTTCCCTTCTCCATGCTCCTCCGCCATGACACCCCTGCCTTGGAGCCAGCCAACCATGGACTGGGTCGCCTGAGCCATGAGCCACCTGACCTCTCCCCTCCTCTAAGTGGTGGGTGTCAGGTGTTGTGAAATGTGGGAGTGGAATTGGGAGTGGCTGGTGGGGGCGAGGCTGCACCCTCTGGCTACAGGCCATGTGAGTTCTTTGCCCTTCCCAAGCCTGCTGCCCTCGGAAGCCCTGAGCCCTCCCAGGCCTCCCTGGTCACTCCTGTGGAGATCGTGTGCCCTGCACCCCAGGATGCACCCCCAGCCCACTGGAAGGGCTGTGATCAGCCTACAGCCCCAGCCTGCTCAGGGTGCCGCCCCACACCTGGCCATGGCTCCCCGGCTCCCCACTTGAGCCCCCGGGAAGGCCACACTGAGGGCTTGAGAAGGAAGGAGGGCTGGGTGGGCACCGACGTGGGTGAGGGAGGGACAGACGGCATCTGAGGCGCATCCTCTGGGATCTGTGGGTTACCTGTCTGCTCATCACTCATTACTTCCTGAACGTGTGGGTGTGGGCAGGAGTGCGAATGTTCCTGCGTGTGCGCCTCTGTGTGACCATGGGTGTGCCTCTGGGCGTGTGTGGCCTTCTGCTTCTCCAGCTGGACCTCCTGGGCCGGATGTCCATGCACCTGGGGACCACGCAGGACCTGCAGCCTGTCCGTGCTCGGCCCTGGGAAGAACCTTCCAGGCTCCTGTCCCCTGCCCTGGCTTCCGGGCGGGCGGGCAGGGCAGCCCCCTCCTGACCCGTGTGAGCTCCGCTGGCTACCCCCTCGCAGGAGAACCAGGTCCCAGATGCACTGTCTCAGTTACTCTCTTGTTGCTGAGACAGAATACCCAGCATGACAGCCAGATGGTAAAGGAGGAGAGGATTATTTCAGTTCTCAGTGTGTAGAGGTTTCTCTAATCGGCGTCAGCTGGCTCCAAGGCAGGGTGACGTGGCAGAGCGGAAGCAGCCCCTGGCAGGGCAGACAGGAGGCAGGGTGCCTTCCTTCTTCTCCCTTTTTATTCCCTCCAGGCTGCAAGCCTATTGGTTGGTGCACCCACATCCAGGGTGGGGCTCCGCTCTTCAGTAAGTCCACCAGCCACACCCAGACCTGTGCCAAGCCTATCGTGGACTCATCCAGCCTCTCGCACCCACGATTTAGCCTCTCCCCAGAGCCCCACTTCTGGCACATGAGGCTTTGGGGGACATTCGGTTTTAAGCCCTAACATGCACTTTCTGGAAGTGGCAGGTGGGAGTACTATCTCGGGAAGGGAGAAGGACTCGAAGCCGAGGGGCACCCTGGAGACAGGGAGGACCCTTGCCTGGGCAGTAGTACAAGGGGCGCAGCTCTGCTGAGGAGAGGGGCTGCCCCTGCTGCTACCTGTGACCAGCCCCCAGCCTGCTGGGCCCAGACCCCAGGAGCAGGCAGCCCCAGACTGCAGCTCCATGGGCAAGGCACAGCCCTGGCTGGAGGTCCTGGCCACCAAGGCCAGCAGTGTGGGCTGGCACGGGGCCCCTGTGGTGAGGCTGCACCATCTGCCCGGAGGCCACAGTCCGGCCTGCGTCGCACTCTGCAGCCCCCTGGCCTCTGACACCCGCCTCCCTGGGAGGACGCACTGCAGACCCCTGGGAGGGCAGCAGCCCACAGAGGGCACGAGGGTTCTCAGGACTCCCCGGGACGCCGTGGAGCAAAGCAGGGGTGGGGGACACAGCATCGGGCGCAGCACGTGCCCATCGTGTCCCCGAGGGACTGTGGCAGGGCAGGGACTGTGATGGGTTGTGGCATCAGCTGGCCCAGGCCACCTCTGGGCCACCCCTTGCTGGACAGGGCTCCCATGTGCATGGAGAGGGTCGCAGGCCTGGGCTAACAGTGACCACACACTGGGTCTGGTGTGGCTCAGCACCCTGTGATGAGGGTGGGCGGCAGGGCTCAGTGTGTTGCACAGCCGCTGCTTGCGGGAGAAACGCCCGTTATTTTTAGTCTGCGCTGTCAGCTCTGCTGGTGAGACGGGGTGAGGTGCTGGCTCTGCAGCGCCATTTCTAACGCCCTGGGGAGCTGTGGTGGCCCTGCCGTGGCCCTGCCCGCCCTCCCGACGCAGACAGCATCCGGCTGGCCAAGGGCTCCAGGACACCTGTGGGACTCGCGCTACCCTAAGGCCACCCCCGTGCCCACCCCAGCAGCCACTGGGTCCAAGGCAGGCAGCTTGGCTGCCTGGAGGGAGCCTGGAGGAGCGGGCTTGAGGCGCAGGGCTGCACTGACTTGGGCCAGGCTGAGGCAGGAAGGTGCCCCTGAGCAGCCACCCCGGCCCTGCCACCCTCCAGCTGGGCTGAATCCAGGGCAGGGTTCCCAGGACCCTGGGAAGAGGACACCAGGTGGCTTCCGCGGTGGCAGAACCAGCAGCGCCTGGCCTGCCTTGGAGCATGGTCCTCCCGTCTCATCCTTGGCCCCAGGGAGCCCAGCGGAGGGACTGCTGCAGGCTCCCTTCCATTTGAGCGGTGCTCTGCTCCCCCTACCGGCCACACTCAGCAGCCAGGCCCAAGCAGGGTCTGCAGGGTCTGTAGCAACGAGGCGGTGGGACCCGCCCTGGTGTCCTGCGGCCTCACTGCCAGCAATGCCAGGCCCAGGTGGGCGAGGCCCTCACAGCTGCTCTGAGCTTAGATGTCCCTGCTGGTCCAGAGGCTGATGGCATGTCCACTCCTGGAACTTGGCTGTGCCCCCCCAGCCTGCTTGGGGATTCAGGCTCCCTACTGCCTATGCACTGGCCTGGCCAGCAGACCTGCTTTGGCCGAGGAAATGCAAGAGGTTGTCACCTCTCAGTGCCCAGTGTCTAGTGCGTCTCAGAGCCCTGCCTGACAGCTAGCCCTGGGGTGAGGACCAGGAGGGCACTAGCCCTGGGGTGAGGACCAGGAGGGCACCAGCCCACCCTGCTCGGCATGGGGCCTGAATGGAAAGGAGCCACTCTGCATCTCAGGCTACTTGTTACACAGCACAGCTGGCCTGTGCTGACTGATACAAGAGCGTCCAGAAGGCAGAGGGTGATTTGAAGGCATGGCTCCTGCCTTGAGGGACACGGACCCCAAAGGTGCTTGTGTTTTCAGAGTGAAAGTGGAATGCAGCCACAGGTACCTGAGTATCTGGACAGGAGAGGCCTAGACTTTCCTCTGCTGTCTTCTTTCTTCACAGTTCTTGGCTAGTGGGGCGAGAGTGAGATTTTTTTCAGACCAGGATTATTTCCAGTCATTCTGTGATATTTTGGACTGCAGAAGCACGCACACCTTTGCTGTGGTGTTTTCCAAGACATGTGGTTCCTCCTAGGAGCCGCAATTGCTTCCCTGGAGTGCAGGGAAGGGTCGAGGACCCCTCGCTTAGCATGAGGATGGGTGTGTCATTTCCCTGGCCCACCAGGGCCCATGGGGTGGGCCAGGCTAGTGTAGGGCGCACAGACTCAGGGCGCTCTCGAGACCCAGCTCCCATGGCTCTCCGAGTGTAGAACAGCGCTGGCCCCTCTGGCAGAGCACAGCCAAGGCCAGGCCAGCATTGCTCCGCAGACCTGCCCGGGGGCACTGGCGGGGTCTCAGATGTCACCCTGGTCCTGGGGTCTCCCCCAGCCAAGGTGCCTCCTGGCCTCTGCCAAAGCACAAAGCCTCAGGAAACGGGATCTGGGACAGAAGAGCGTCCACCCTGCACGTCAGCTGCATCGCAGCAGCAGGTCCTGGCATCCCCACAGCACAGCCGCCCAGGGGCCCACATCACGTGGCCGGTGTTCCCGTCAGGCTGGTCAGTGCAGTGTGCAGAGGACAAACACTGAGTCACTCAGATGACGTCTCCGGCTGCCCAAGCGACCTGGAAAACTCGCAGGAGACAAGGACAGAGTGAGTGACGAGGACCAGTGAGGTGGCTCATTACTCAGCTCGTGGTGCCAGCCCCTCCGCCACAGAAGTCACCCGTGTGGAAAATGTGCCACTGGGGGCTGTGCTGTGCAGAGGCTGGAAACGCCCCTGGTCTGGACTCGGTCCACTGGCCAGAACCTGGGTCCCTCATGGAGCAGAGGAAATGCTGTCTCACCTGCCAGTTGATGGTGTCACGTTAATGGCTTTAAACAAACCCACCCTGGTTTAGCTCCTTCATGTATTCCTCTAGACCCCTGTCGCAGAACAGCAGAATCCAGGCAGGGAAGGGGCCATTGTGCTCTGTCCCCACGCCCGGCCCAGGTGCCCTGCTCCTCCTGAGAAGCCACATCCCTGTCTGTGGGCAGAAGCCTCAGCTCCCTGGAAGCCACCCTCAGAGGCTTGCTAGTGATGAGATGTCGCTGCTCTTGGTGATGTGGGGACCAGGGAGGGAGTGGGCAGGCGACACTGGAGGTGGGAGGGGACACTGAAGGTGGGAGGGGACACTGCAGAGGTGGGAGGGGACACTGCAGAGGTGGGAGGGGCACTGCGGAGGTGGCTCAGGTGTCATATCTGGGCTTCACTGGACTCCCTGGAGCCCAGGACAGCCAGCGTGGGGGCCCAGTACCTGGGCTGCCTGAGGAAAGCCCTGGTGGGGACAGCCACCACAGCTGTCAGCCCTCTGGGGCCTGGGGCTCCCTGCCTCAGTTTCCCCTAATGAGCTGCCTTTTTGTGGAGGAGGGGCGATAGGACAGCTGCACCCGTGGAGGCTGCTGGGCACCTCCGTCCACGCTGGCTCGGAGCCTCGGCTGGAGGAGGCCTGGCAGCAGCAGTCCTCTGGTTTCCCCCGGGGTACACATGCTGGGACAGCCTCTGCCATGCCCTGTGACCACATGGCCTGGAGGGGCTCAGGCACCAGGCTGTGTGCGTGGTGGACACGTGTGGGAGTGACAGGTGTGAGCACACAGCCCAGGGATTCCATGCACATCTTCCACAGCGCCTGAGCTGGGCCTCCAGGCCTCCGGGCCACCCGAGAACCCCACGACCTGAAGCCCAGGAGAGGGCAACGCGGAGGGTGGCGGGTGGGCTGGCCCATGCTACTAGCTGCACTGTGACTCAGCTTCCGCTTTGTGCCCAGTGAAACCCAGGCTGCAAGAGGTCCCCGCCCGCTTCCTCTTCTTTCAGTCCCGAGGATTGAACCCATAGCCTTTGCACTGAGCTGCACCTCCAGCCCTTTTTAAATTTTGAGACAGAGTCTTGCTAAGTCACTAGTTGCTCAGGCTTGTGTTCTTCCTCCCCCAGTCTCCCAGAGTGCTGGATTGTAGATGTGCGCCCCCACACGGGGCTGCAAAGGCTTCTTCTGACCCACTGGTTTCAGGGACTCCGACATGCGTCTGAGGGTCCTCTGGACACATCTACTGTGGCCACTCAGCAGCCCCTGTCTGGGCCTGGTCACCATCTGGAGGCAGCAGGAACGGCCCTGGAGCGGAGCAGGGGGACACTGCCTGGCTGGCGGGGAGAAGCTGGTGGAGGCGGATTGGGCAGGGTTCGAGCAGCAGCCTCGAGGTGGAAGCAGGGACTCCGGGTGCGTGAGAAGCACCCTCAGAGGGACTGCTGTCCTGGTGCCCTCCCCGAGCCAGGCTGGGGCGCCACTGCACAGATGCTGGCCCAGTGTGTCACCAAGTCCCTCCAAGCCGCGCACCTGGTCAGCAGATGCACCCGGGGGCCTGGGGTGGGCAGTGTCCCTGAGGGAAGGGGAAATAGCTGCCCCGGGGCCCTGAGCCGGCTGTCCAGCTCAGCAGGAGGTGCCTTTGAGACAGTCTGGGATCCTGCTGCCCGGGCCCTGGAGGGTTGGGGCCTCCAAGGTCTCTGTCGACCGTGAAGCAATGGAGGGGACCCGGGCTGGACACGCAGGAATGGGAGTGCCCGCCTCTGCTCACCACTGCGCTCAGCTGTGGCGGGGCGGGGGGCACCGGTCTCTGCCCCCCAGGACTCCCTACCTGGCTGCGAGGGCACTGGTCACCCTCCCCGCTGGCTGCACGCAGAGCAGGGCTGCCCGTCACCGACCATTTTCCCCTCAGTGTCACTCAGCCAGGAAAGTAGGTCACGCTGGCCAGGGAAGGCCTGGACCAGGCGCAGAGCCGGGAAGGGCCACTGCCGGCGGGAGGCGGCTGATTTCTGACTCAGTGTGTATTTATAGCAGGAGCCAGGCGCTCCAAGGACGAGCCCTCCGCTGCCCGCTGGCGGGAGCAGTCACTGCACCCGGCTCACAGGGAGGTGGTGGCAGCAGATGTGCTGCCTTTGCGAGCCCAGGGCCAGTCAGAGGCCAGGGACAGGGCTGCCGGGGCCAGAGGGGCAGGCGGGCAGGGCCGCCACGTCCTGCACAGTGCTGGCTTCTCTGGCCCTAGCACCGGCTGCCCGGGCGCCCTCAGGCTGGTCCCTCCTGGCTGGCAGCATCTGGGAGGAGGGTCCTGGCTGTGATGGGGCAGAAGGGTCTCACCTGGGCTCCGGCCCTCGGCTCCTGGAGCGTGGGCGACCTCACAGGGCCCCTCCCTGCAGCCCCTCTCCGTCCCTGTGTGACAGAGCGGGGAGCAGGACCACGGGGTGGGGCCTTGCTCCTGTGGACACAGAGTCCCCGCCACCCTGGGGGAGAGGGAGGCTGCTGTCACCGAGCCCTGGGGCGAGAGGGAGGGCCAAGCCGTGCAGAGCTGCCCCCCTCCCCCGGACTTCAGATGGCCCCTTGTCCTCTGGAGCTCTGCAGTGGCCCCTGGCCGGGGAGTCAGCAGGCCGAGTCCACTCTGCAGGGAGCTGCGGTCACGGGGCGCAGGTCTTGGGTTTGCTTTTCATTTGAACCCTTGAGGATGGAAGCCCTGTCTCTGCCCTGTCTCCATGCCTCTGCCCCTCTCTGTTCCTCCGTCTTTCCTCCTCAGGGAAGGGGATCCCTTTTTCTGTCCTGATTCCTTCCCAGCTGCAGACGTGGCCGTGTCCTGGGGGAGCCCTGGGCCTCTGCCACCCCTCCCTGTCTGCCCTGCTGTCCCGACCGGGTCCTCAGCTCCCAGCCGCCCTGGAATTCGCCTCTGCAGTCTCCGCATCTTCTCACAGTGCTGGTTCTCAGCATGGCTGCAGCTCCCGCCCAGTGTCCCGGCTGCCCCAGGTCACAGGCCCCGATTGTGGGCTGTGGGTGACGCCGGCCACCTGGGTGTGTGGGGACGTAGGGACTCAGGCCAGTCCCAGGCCTCAGAGGTTCCACCCTGGCCCCATGTGTCGAGGAGGGGTCCCCAGGCCTGGTGGGACGAGGCAGGGTGACAGGCAGCCGCCCGGGCTGAGCGGGGCCCATGTTCCCGTCGGGCTGAGCTGCGTGCTGGTGGGACGCACAGTAGTCTTGGCTGGACGCTCAGTCTTAGGAAACGTCGGGTTCCATGCTTATTTTTAGCTTCAGGAATGTGACTCTTGATCGTGTTTGGGTTTTTAAAAGAGGCTGACTCAAGATAGAGCTGTGTCCCCTGCCCCTGGCCAGCCCAGAGCCCTCTTGTCTGATGGCCAGGGTGGTGGGCCCGCGAAAGGCAGCTGTCCACTCTGCCTGCTGGCCAGGAGGAGAAGCCGGGACAGAGGCGGAAAGCTGCTCACAGTCATCCGGGTCCCCGCCGGGGGGTCCCAGTGTGACAGCCACAGCCAGAGACGTTGGGGGTGACTGGCAGTCACAGGAGCAGCAGTGGGGAGGCAGGCACGGGGCCGGGCTCAGCCACACTGCACCCCAGCCGCGGCCAGGAGCCGGGAGCCGGGAGCCCCAGCAGCTCCCACTCATCCCCAGCACGGCTGCAGTTTCTGGCCCAGCCTGGATGTGGATTGGGCCTGGGCATGCGACCGGCCTCTCCCTGCTCCTGGGGCCGCTGGGCGCACCTGGCTCTTACGCAGGATGAACCCGGAAGCCCAGGTCGTGCTCCCCAAGGGTGCAGGCGCCCGCATCCCTGGCCACACCCCGTGGGGCCTCCCGAGTCCCCAGCAGAGGCCGGCCCTGGGTGGCTGGGCAGGAGTGCGGAAGACCTGGGGTGTGGGGCGCCTTGGGGTACAGGTGGGAGGACAGTGAGGGCCAGAGGCAGGGACGGGTAAGTGTCCCGGGACGCCACGCTCCATGGCGGACAGGTGTCTCCACGCGCCGCGGCCAGCCACGCAGTGACCAGAGTGGCAGCTTCCAGAAGTAGGGGCTGGGTGACCGCTGCCAGCTTCCGGGCCAGATGTGGCAGTGGGCGTGCAGTGTCAACTTGCCCGGCTTGGGGTCGTCCTGGGGACCAGGAAAGCACGGCGGGGCGGAGCGTGTGCCTGGGTCTCCGAGGCCTGGCCTCGGGTGCTGCCCTCAGTCCTCGCTGCCTTGGGCGCTCTGCTTTCCTGCCTGCCTTGAGCTAAGCTGCTTTGCTCACAACCACATCCTCCTGCCTTGGAGCCAGCACAGGAGCTGAATCCCGGAAGTGTGAGCCAAACTCGGCCTCTCCTCCTCTAAGCTGTGGGTGCTGGGTGTTGTGCCTGCGACGAGGGAGATTCTTCTTCCTTGATGTCCACCCAGGCACCTTGTCTGCCCTCTCCCGGGACCGCAGCTTTGGGAAAGGCAAGAGAGCAGGGGGAGTCAGCTCAACCCAGGGCCTCCGCTGGGCCGTGTCCATCAGGGTGGGACAGCCCTGCCCCTGCCCCTGCCCTCCACAGGAGGCCAACTCCCAGGTTCCCTGGAGTCCTGGGGAGAGGTGACCAGGTGCTGGGCGGAGGCTGAGGTTCAGGGGAGTCTGGGCCCTCGTGGACGTCCGGCCTCTGGAGCCGGGAGCTGCGCGAGTTCTGCGGTTTCTAACCCCCCTGCCTTTCGTGCTCCACTGCGGCTGCAGAAGCAATGAGCTAGCTCCTTCCGGGGTCATGGATGAAACTGGTGTCCAGCAGGGAGGGGATTTAGTCTGAGGCCACTTAGTGGCCAAGAGAGAACTAGAACCCAGCTCTGCCCCACACTGGCTCCAGGGGCCTTTCAGGCAGCATCTCGGGCCTGGGGACCGGGTCCTGGTGGCTTTGGATCCCTCAGAGCTAGGAGAATCTCTGGAAATCGTGCTGTGGGCCTTTGCTGAGGTCCAGGGAGGGCCACACCTGCCTCCCAAGAACAGGGCTCTCACAACAGGGAGCAGCTGCTGAGCAAGAAAGAGGCCTGGGGTTAGAAATGCGATCTTCAATATAAGACTTCAGTGGGAAGGCTGCGAGGTAGAGAAAGGAATTCCCTGAAAGCAGGAAGTGGACAAAGACGTGGCCCATGGGGAGAAACACTAAGAAGTATGAAGGCTGAACCCGGGTGCCCCAGACACAGCGGGCTCAGGACAAGGGTACCTAGCGAGCAGGGGAACAAACACTAGCAGGAGTAACAGAAGAAAATCCCAGGGCTGAAGAATGAGCGTCAGCCTGAGGAGCCAGCGGGTCCTGAGCAGGACCAGGGCAGTGTGTGCTGGTCCCTATCTGCTGTACTTTCTGACCTGCGAGGGGTCCTAAAAGCTGGCAGGAGAAGGAAGGAGCTGCTCGCAGCAGAGATTCCCGCTGGCATCGGCTTCTGAGTGGCAGCATGGTAACAGGCGCCTGTGGAGCGGCCTCCCGAACCTGGGAAACCACAGCTCAGAACCAAGATTCCACACCCAGCTGAACAGCCTGCACCTGACAGGGACACAGGGTCAGGTGGGCAGGTGCTTAGCACACGGGTGGAATGTGAGGCTCTGGTCTGGGGAGGCCCGGGCGAGGACACAGAGCAGAGACCGCCATGGGCACGGCCAGGTGCAGCTGCCCCCGTGGGCCGGGGAGGCGGAGGTGCCCGGGAGCAGCACCTCCTCGCTTGGAGCACTTTCTCTACGTGCGGTTGAGGCACAGGACGCTGGGGCGAGGCCATCCTTCTGTCCCCCAGAAAGAAGAAACATGGCAGCGCTGTAATGAGCAGAGCTTGCCCAAGCGCATCACCAGGTGGAGGGCAGAGGTCACCTGCAGCCCGGAGCTAAATTAGGGCCCACCAGGTGTGAGGCCAGCTCTGTGACAGCCACAGTCAGCCACGCATCTGCCACGGGCCACTCAGGTATGACACCACGCCGGCCTGGATGCTGCGTGTCCTCCACACAGGAGTTTGCAGCTGCCTGGGGCCCCAGTGCTGCCCAGCCCCGACCTGAACCGCAGGCCGGGTCTGCATTTGGGTCTCTGGATGCCGCTGGCTTCCAGGTCACATTCCCTTTTCTCTCCCTGGAAAACATCCAAAAACAACAGGAGGAAACAGAGAGCAGACTCTGTTATCTGGAAACTGAGGAACCAAGTCCCCCAGGCCCAGACGCCGGGGGCGGGATGGGGGGGGAGGCAGAGGGCAGCAGGGAGCAGAGGTGGGAGGAGCGGGAGGTGGATCAGGACCCAGGCGGAGACAGGGCGGCTGGCGGGGTGGCTGGAGGCTCAGAAGGAAGAGTGCGGGCACTCCCCGTAAGGCGCTGGATCAAAGCCACACTCGGCCTGAATGCAGCCGGCAGGTGGTGTGGATGAGGGGGAGGTCGGGAGGGACCCGTGGAGACGCCCGGGGAGTCACCCACAAGGAACAGCCAGATGTGCTCACCCCACACACCACACGGGGGGGGCCGGTGCCAGCGGCCCCAACACGTCATGGTTAAAAATAAGATCTTAAAAGCATTTTCTAAAGATTGGAACATTCTTTGAAGCTCCAGAATGGGAAAAAGCCTTTTTAAACAGTGACAAAAACCCAGGAGCTTTGAGCAGTTAAAAATTTGAAAAGTTTCCACACAGAAACAGCGACGGTGGCCCAGTCCAAAGACGTACTGGGCTGCACGCCCCACCTCACAGACAGGGGATGCTGTCCTGTAAGAAGAGCTCCTAGAAGTCAGGAGGAAAAAGAGGGACATTAGAAAGGGGGAAGCCACATCGGAGGAGCCCCACGCGTGCACAGTAAACGCAGTGGCTCTGGGAAGCTTGAGGAGGCAGCCCAGGAGGAGCATGCCTCAGCCTCCCCGAGATGCTCCGTCAGCCTGCAGGGTGGGCTGAGGCCCGGTCTGCACCCCTACTGGTGGGTGCGAGAGCAGGGTCCGTCCACACGACAGGCACGGGACCTGCAAGATCACTGCTAAGAGTTTTCCTGTGCAGCCACCATA